ATTTCAATTGGTGAATACGAGGTCCATTGGAACCGCTATATCTGGTCTTCAGATCTAACCATAATTCATGAGCAATTTTATGGGAGATAATGGAAGGTTGGATGTGTTCATCAACACTGTTACAGATCCAAGAACAAATTATGGAATTATTAGCTTTCCATGCCGCCAATTCCTGTTCATCAGTGGGTTTAGGAAACCCGGAAGGATTGAGAAAACCTGCTCTACTACGCCCTTCTAGAGCATTAACAATTGTTTTCTCCCAAATATCATAATTATCACCTTTGAGAAGATGCTTCGTCAAGGAATTACCCGCACTTTCGGACGGGTGGATGTAGTACGGAGAGGTAGGGTCGTGGATGAGCCTGACCTTCTTTGTTCCTTCGCTTGCCATGGAAACGAAGATAGTACCGGCGTGAGACGGTGATTATGAGTCCGACGTGAGCCGGCGCTGCAGCGGTGGTGATCGACGTGAGCCGATCGAAGAGGGGCGACCGTGGTGTGGCGGCCGGCGAAGCAACGGTGGCGGCACCGTGCGTGAGAAAAAAAAACCTAGGGTTTTAGATGGTCCCGGGAAATTGGCTCTGATACCATGTAGAATTTTGGAAAAACTGAACTGCCTTTCATTCAATATTCACAACGTATATATATACATGTGCCAAGTCCTACGCCAAGTATGGAAAGGACTACTAACAAGGAAACTAATTACACTACTAACAAGGAAACTAATTACAAAGGAAACTAATTACATATATGGTAGTAAATAAATATACATGCTAACAACACCCAAGCAATAACTGAGGAATAACCTAATTATTTAGAATCATGCTAGGGTGCCACCACATGTGTGCTACCATGGGTGCACTCATGCTTCGCACAGACAAACACAGACGATAATTGTCTGTGCGACACAGACAATTATCGTCTGTGTTTGTCTGTGCGAAGCATGGTAGCACCCATGTGGTGGCACCTAGCATTTTCCAATTATTTACTCAAGTCATCAAAAGTATCAAATAGAGCACATGTGCTCCACCAATGTAAACCTTAAAACTATCGATGTCGAAGTAAATTACTTGTAGACCGGAATACACAATGGGAGAGATACAATACAAGATAGACTCCGTAATACATGCATCAAAAATAAAACAAAACAAATTACTACCTCAGAAATGCATCCATACACATATAGTAATACGGAGTACAGCAAATCACTTAATAATTCAAGCTTTTAATTAAGAAACAAAATCCTTAATTTCCCACGCCAATTATTTAATAATCGTCTATTTCGGAATTATTTCCGAAAACCTAACAAATACTCCGATCCTTTAATAATGAGTATTATTATTATTATTTATTTATTTATTTATTAGCACAAGGGCATATCTGGAGGAGGAGGCAACATTTTCTGGTTAGATCTCTTCCCGTCTTTAACAATGAAAGTCATCTCCATTCCCCAAGTCGTGTGCCTCTCCAGATGACAATGCATAAACCACACCCCTGCATCCATTCATATTTATGTTAATTAATTACTTACTTTGTTCCTAAAAACATTGTCACCGTTTAATTTTTTTTAATAAAACTGTAGCACTTTGAATCCTTGGTAACAAATTTAACATAATTAAAAAATACGAGTAGTTAAATATTACTCCCTCCGTCCCATGAAACATTTCTCCTATCTTTTTTTATCCGTCCCACAAAACACTTCTCATTTCTACTAAAAAGTCACTTTTACCCCTTACTTTTTCATATCCTAACTATCACATCATACATTTTTACTAATAATCTATCCATCAAATCATACTTTTACTCATCACATCAAAGGACATTTTTGGAAATTCAATACCAAAATACACTCCCCTTAAATCCCTCCTAAAAAGCAAAAGTCCCATGTTTCATGGGACGGAGGGAGTATAAAATTTTAATATTTTAAAATTATATTCTAAAATAAATTCAATTTTACTAAATTTATATTATAATTAAATAATCCCTCCGAAAACATGAGAGTTTTGATGTTGAAAAAAGATTTAAAGGATGTGTATTTTGGTATTGAATTTCCAAAAATGTCTTTTGATGTGATGGGTAAACGTATGATTTGATGGATAGATTATTAGTAAAAAGATATGATGTGATAGGTAGGATATGAAAAAGTAAGGGGTAAAAGTGACTTTTTAATAGAAATGAAAATTGTTTTTAGGAACGAATAAAAAAAGAAAAAAGAAAAGTTTTCATGTGAAAGTATATTTTATCCATAGTCTCCCGTGTCACAATTGAAATATATATGCTCGTAATTACTCCGTACATCTTACCGGGATTGTCGGCTTTGAATCTAATGGCGGTCCAAGCGTTTCTGGGAACAGCGATGGTGTTCATCAAGGGAGGATCCACCAGGTTGTACTTGGTCAACGGATCTTTATCTTTGTCGAAATTCCCCACATCCGACCCCACCACGTAAAAGCTAAACCCATGCAGGTGCATGGGATGGTCTATAGCCGCCACCAAATTCGTCCCCTGGAACACAAGCTCCACCGTCGACCCGTACTCCAGCACCACCACCTTCGCCGTCTTGTTCCTCTCCGGCACCTGCAGGTTGAGCGGCAGGTTGTCTCCCGTGAAATTGAATGCCAGCGGCGGGACCCGCGGGAAGTCCTCCGAGTACACTCCGGCAATGCTGGAGTAGTACGCGTCGAGGATGTCGATCCCCGGGAGGATGAAGCTGTTGTTGTTCACGCTGGCGAGGAACATCGTGTTGTTGGGCCCCACGCACGACGCCCTGTCGCACGGCCGGGTGTTGATGGAGACGGTGAAGAAGAGCTTTGTCGTGACGTGCATCGGCACGTCGATCGGGTGGTTTCTGTCGGCCAGGCTTCGCAGCCTCCGGGTGAAGTTGACGGAAGCTGCGTCGTTGGTGGTGTCGGGGAGAACGGGGAAGGACAGGGCCGCGGACGGGGTGTAGTTGCCGGAGTACTGGAGGATGCCGGTGGCTACGGTGCTGTCGTATTTGACCCTGGAGTCGGTGTTCAGGGCGCGGGCGGCCATGTAATAATGATCGGAGGCTTGGTTGGGTTGGAGGAGGAGGTCGAGGGTCTGGCCGGGGGATATGACGGCGTAGTCAGCTTTGAATGGCTTGGTGTAGCTGCCGTCAGTTCCGACCACCGTGAACTGGTGGTTGGCGATGGAGAAGAACATGATGTTGTTCATCACGGCGTTCACCATTCGGAGCAGATATGTTTTTCTCCTCTCCACTGTCAACCTGAATGTGTCTGCATCCAATAATTTTGGAAAAGTCAAATGTTGTGTCACAAAATTTTTTCGACTAGAATTCACTCACAACTCCACCAATTACAACCCCAAAAATCAATTGAATTTAGAGTAAAAATTTAACTCCAAAGTAAAATTAATTTTATGGCGAATTAATAAGGGCGAGAATGGGTTTGAATCGCCTCGATTTAAACCACCTATGCCCCTAACTCTTCCAATTTAATCCTCAAAAATTTCTTAGCTTTGTTGACATGAAAATTAACGCTATTTGTTTAGAGAAACCTATTCCATTTATCATGTTCCATGATTTAGAATGAAGCTGAGCGCCAAGAGCTTTTTCGGCTTGTGGAAAAAGTTATAAAAAAGATGGTTATAGTCCTAAAATGAGAGGTACTTACAATATAATTTGTCTAATTTGAAGTGGCGAGACAAGGATTTTCAGTGGTCTTTTCTGCCGACTGTGTTATAACCCCAAAGTCAATACAAAATTTGTGGATATAATGAAAAGGTTGGGGAGCGTGATAAAAGAAGAAATCGTCAAATTTATAAATGTAGTACCGTAAATTTAAGTGAACGTTTAAAATTTAAAGATACTACTATTCATTAAAATTAAGTTTAAAATAAAACCAATGCTACCAAACTACCCCAATGCTACTAGTGTCCAAAATATTGCTAGGGTAGGGAGGCAAGCAGGGGCAATGTTGGGGGGCTGGGTGGGAGGTTTAAAGGGTAAAAGCTATCATCTTTACCATCGAGGCACGTAGGTGATCAAAAGAAATGACAAATTTGTGTATAAGTTATTGGTGTTATTTTAGACACTCATTTTACAATTACGACTACTCTTATATACGATATGTGAAAAAATATAAAAAAAGTAACAATAAGTGTGAGTCATAAAATGAATTAAATATCTACTTTCGAAACTTAAAATAATACTTTCTTCGTCCCTAAGAGTGTTTCTTTTTTATTTTATTTTTCTTGTCCCAAAATCACTTTCTACTTTCTTTTAAAATAACATTTTTAAACAAGTAACAATCAAATTAAGATGATAAATTCAAATTGAAACAAATATCTCTTAACCGTCTTAAAACAAAAATACTCTTGCTATGATTTCATATTTATTATTCTTTGTTTCATTTTTCTTAATCATAATATCATGTGACGAATTGATCTATTTTCTTGCTATGCGCATCTAAATTTAAAGGTCATTACAAGTACAAAGTCCATGTTTATTTTATGGAACTTAGTGTATTTTTATCATTTAGAAATTAGGATTTTAAAAAAAGAAAAGATCTGCTTGTCAGCCATTGAAAAATATGAAAAAATTCACATTTTCCTTATGGACTTTAAGTTATCTATTTGTTATTCATATGGTCAAACATTATTCACTTTCTATCTTTATTTTTGTTACTAATTTGATAAAATAATACAGTTATGTCACCTCCTATTTCTTAGAACTTTTGATGTAACTTTAAAATATATCATTTTATTTTTTAATTTTCAAATAAATTGAATTGAAAATAAATTCAGTCAACATCGTGAATTGAAATAGGTGATTTAATATGGGACCGAGAGACTAAAAGTAAATTATGCAAAAAAAAAAGATTACACAATGGAGCAATCAACCAAAACATGTAACACTTGAAAAAGTTTGGTTATTAGAGAAAAAGTATGATGTGATAGGTAGGGTATGAAAAAGTAAGGGTAAAAGTGGTTTTTTAATAGAAAGTGGAAGTGTTTTAGGGAATTCAAAAAAAATGAAAGAGGAAGGGTTTTGTGGAACGAAGGGAGTATTAAATGTTAGTCAAATAGAAGATATTTTGGTATTTTCTATTATCTAGACATAAAATATGTTCTCGAAATGGTACTTCATAATTAAGTCTGTTTCCACACTAATGATTTCTAAGTAAATGTATTTCCGAAACGTGGTCCATGAGCCTACTCGGGTGGGTCCGTTCATGTAGTAGTCACTCACTTAATTTGAAAATATTTATTCATAATTAATACTTATTGAGGATTAATTTAAGAAAATACTTTATTAAAAAGACTGTTTTGAAAATTTAGTTATTCTTATTATGTCAATTCTCACACGTAGTAATTGTGTAACATTTTTCTTAGTAAAATAGAGAAAATAAATAGAGTTGAGTGCATTAATAATAAGAGTACCATTTTGTGAGCAAGGATATCGAACCCCGGGTTGACCATTGATTAGAAAAGCATCCGATACATTTGGATTTCCACCCGTTGCTTCGAACTCTTTTACCACTTCTTGTATGTCTGACTTCCACCACTCTCCTGCACCACCAACCAACCAATCATATTTAATGCTATGGTGTCACCACATGGGTACTACAATGGGTGCACAGATAATTATCGTTTGTGCGAATCATGGGTACATCCATGGATCCATGGTAGCACGTGACACCCTAGTATGGTCCATTTTATATATGCTATATTCATTAATTATTGGGGGTGTCTTTTCTTAAGGAGAAAATAATTTATTTTCTTAAAGGAAATTTTTTTGTATATATATATATATATATATATATATATATATATATATATATATATATATATATATATATATATATATATTTACGTACCTAAAATGATGGGAACTTCCACATCCGGTTTTGCATAGGGATAGTGATCAGTTCCGTTGGCGGGATAGACGATAATGGCGCCGTGAACGGTGGCGCGTGACCAGTCGCTATGAGCGTGCCACCATATCGTTCCCTCTTCGTCGGACAGTAAAAGTGTCTGGGTGAAATTCCTGCCCGGCTGGATTGGACACTGGGTGATAAATTCTGGGCCATCTGACCATGGATTCCTAGGCTGTTTCACCCCGTGCCTGCGGTAAATCAACTTTATTACTGTACTATATAAAATTACCGCGACAACAATATTTATAATTAAAATAATTAACGAAGAATATGTATGCATGTATACTACGAGTACAGAAATTAACATAAATAAATAATTAACCAGTGAAGGGTTATGTTTTGGTTTCCATTGTTGAAGACTCGGACAATAATGGTGTCCCCTCTGTGGGCATATAGAGTTGGGCCTGGGAAGCTTCCGTTCACCGTCAAGATTTTCTTGCTGCTGCAAAGCCTTGTATACTCTGCTTCTTCTACCTGCATGTATATATGATTTGAAAAAAAATAAATGACTAAATCAAGAAGTAAAAGATTAGAAATAATTAAGAGTAGTTAATTAGGCTAGGGCCTTTATATATATTAAATAAATATAGTACGTACTACGTACGATGAAGGTATGACGAAGAACTTCTGCTTGGGCGAGTTGAAGAAGGGTAACAATAATGAGAAGAAAGCATATAGTAGCAGCTGGTTGCCCCCAATTCATGGCTACGACACTATTCCCTAATTTTCTTTCACGTGTATATATATGTGTGTGTCTATATATATATATATACTCCGTATATATTTATGGAACAAGCCCGTACATATATATTCCGTATAGTTTAACTTTGCAGATCAATATAATATGGAGTCGGAAGTACGGTAATAGTTATTACTCCCGCACTCCTTTTAAGATGTTTATATTACTCCCTCCGTCCTATAATGATCTTCCCGGTTCGCAAAACGAAAAAAAATCTTAAGTTTTTTCAATCTATTTTATTTTAATATTGGTATAGAAATAAAAAATAAAACATACATATTTAAAAACTATACCAAAAGTTTAACAAAACAAGTGGTGACAAGAATATTTTATTTTATCATATAGGCCATGAAAAAACACAAATAAATATAAATTCCCGTGAAGTTGGAACAGTGCTCTGGGAAGATCATTATAGGACGGAGGGAGTATGTTTTTTGTGTCTATCCAAAAATTTCACAAAAATTTTAAAATAACTAGACCTCGTACCCACAATATAGGAGAAATGTAGTAAATTTCAAGAATTTTAAATGTGGGTAGAAGTATTTTAGATGATGCACAAAAAATGAAATGAAAACGTCTTTTTAGGACGGAGGAAGTGTGATTTAAGGATGTTGGGCGAAAGACGCACCAATGTTTGATTTATTTACTCCGTATTAGAGGTAGTATGTTTGATACCTTGATGTTATGAATATATTATTAATGAATAAATATGTTATAATAGATAATGTAAGAATTAGTAAAACGAAAGTCATTATATATATATATTTATTTATTTATATATATTTGTTTTAAATATCTCTATTACATCTTATATATATATTCTACCTATGGATCACATTCAAAGATAAAATGTGGAGCTAAACTTAAATTACTCTCTTTAAATCCAACTTCTTTCTAAACAAGAATTATTTTATGAAATTGTTAGAATATAAATAATTTTTTTCTTGGCCACAACCACACGCTTGAATCTTTGGTTAGGTTGATTCCTTGACATAAATGGAGGTAGTGAGCATATTTTATTAAAAATTAAATTCTTGACATGAGTAGCATATGTAATCGTGAGCTTTGAACTCTAGACTTTTTGATTAACAAGAATTTGATAAGGTGAATCAACTTAAACGTGTGTGAAGTTGTAGCTCTAATAATAATAAATGTTTTTTTTTGAACAAAGAAAATGGGGGCTATTAACAGAGCAGAATACAACTTGAGCACTGTATATCTTAGTTAGGTAGACGCCCATTTTTTGGTGCAAGTTTCATTGTGTTACGTAAGTTATCGGGGGTTTTGAAGTTTTGAACATTTATACATTATTTATCCAAGTATATTCGTCTGGTTAATTATGAGCGAGCGGAAGCAATTTTGTGATGATAGCCTTTAGAAGTAGATAACGAGATCTTTGTTGCATGACGAACAAACTTAAGATTACGTTTGTTGAGTTTTTTTTTTGTGAGAGTGTTGACGATTGGAGTGAGGGCGAAGAGTTTCTTTTTTTATCGTTTTAGGTCGTTCTCTGCTTCTCTATTGCTTTTCATGTTCTCAATCTCTAGAATACAACACAGAAAGATGCAACTTTCCCGTTTTCGATCACGCACATATTTTTTTTGGAAGAGAGAGAGAGACAATGAATTTTTTGGAGAGAAAGAGAGGGATAATGAACGACGGTTGTTAGGCACGCTCGTCGAAACCGGTCGGTGACGCCATGCTGTCAAAGAGTAGACCTCCATGAACAGAGACCGGCAATGTGCTCGGTCAGAAAAGGAAGAGCTATGTTTTTGATAATCTTAGCTTCGATACCATGATACGAATTGATAATAATTGATCTTATTAAATAAGTAAGAGAGAATTCTAATCATATTAGAAGAAGAATTATAGTAACAATAGAATAAATAAAAAATGTAATTAATAATCTATATTATTTTCTGTTATTATCATTTACCATTCTCTATAAATACTCCCTCCATCCAAAATTATTTGCAACGTTTGTTTTTTTAGCAGTCGCGGGAACTTTTGTTTATTTCTACGTTTTCATTGGTTATTTGATAAAATAAAATATTCTTCACAACTCTTATTTCGAAGAACTTTTCATGTAGTTTTTTGATATGTAAATTTTATTTTTTATTTCTATACCAATATGTAAATAAAATGAATTGAAAAAACTTGATATTTTACCTCGGGAATACAAGTGTAACAAATATTTAGGGACGGATGTAGTATTACATACAGGTAATATATTTAAATCAGTTTTGCTAGTTCTGTGAAATAGGAAACATTTACATGCATACTCCAAGAAATGGATACTTTTACGTTAATAGGCAAAATTCAACAATTGACATCACCCATTCAATGCTCCCAAAAAGTTACTTATTTTTGTCTTATGACTCTGAATTGTCAACTTTTGGGTTTGATTATTAACTTTCAACTTTTTTCAATCCCTTCTAATTTTTTTCAATAATGATTTAATGATTATTTATATATGATATACAATAACATTTTATATCTAAATTTATAATTTACCACATCAAACATAAACAACGATGAATTCATTTTTATCCTAAATTACAATTTTTTTACATATTTATTTGGATGATCATTTAATTGATCGACTGTCTTTTTAATATTTTAATTCTTCCAATATTTTCTAATTCATTCCAATTTTTTCTAACTCTTAGCTTTCTACTCTCTTTCCAAAGCCTTTTTTATCATCAACTGACATATAAGTTAAAAATTATTTATAAGTAATTTTAAACAGTTTATAAGCACAGAAAGCACCCTCTAAATATACATACTGAGTGGGTTAGTGTGGTCCAACAGCTAAAATGAGCAAGTTCCCAAGCCACATCGCACAATCTCTATGAGAAAAAATCCAACCAAGGGGAGTAGATTCAAGTTTAATTCCTGATCCATAGGAAACAACTGTGCTAAATATGTGATATCTTCAAATACCAGCTGATTGCCTCCAATTCATAATCATGATATTCAATTTACCTCTTCTCGATAACTGTCTACCCGGGTATGAGAAGTCCTCAAAGATGTGGCTCATCCTTTAGGGGGAGAAGAACTCCAACATGTTCTTTCTATGTTTTCTGTACGTTTTAACTATTAATGCTATATACTCTCCCCATCCAAAAAATATTCTTTTAAAATTTTGTATCAAAATAAAGTGAGAGTGTTTTTTAGAAGGAGAAAGTATATACTCGTGTGTGTGTGTGTGTGTATATATATATATATATTTGTATCAATAATCAAAGTCTTTTTTTTGAATCATTAATGTTTTATTCCTTATAGACCAAATGGTTACAAAGTGGGAAATAAATGAACTCATGGCCATCATATTCTTTTTTGAATTTTGATAGAAGAAAAGTCAAAGTGAGGTCTGAAGTGTGTAGCCTTTTCGTACGCATATTCACGTGCGGTTGCATCATAATAGACCCAAGTGGTATGAACTGTGACAACGTGTTGTGCTTAATTATCAATCACTATATGGTACGGAGTCCTAATAGTCTACAGTCTACACAATGTGGCCCTCCTCACAAAATTATTACTCCCTCCGTCCTTATTTATTTGCAACACTTCGAACAACGTGCAAAATATCATCTCTTTTAAAATTACTTTAATTTCAAATTGGTAGAGTAATAAAAAGTAAAAATTACACCATTTAAAAGTATATGAAAAGCTCTACAGAACAAGATGCGACAAGAATATTTTATTTTATCAAATGATCAACCAAAACGAGTAAACAAACAAAAATTATCGAGAGGCCAGAATAGTAAACGTGACATTCTTTATGGGACGGAGCGAGTAGGTGATAATGCTATAAGGCTTATGGTTGTGGTTCACCCATTATGTCTATCACAACATTTGGAAAATGCATAAGAATTAAGTTATTTATTTACTAAAATTTGTACTTCATTTTGTACCCAAAGACATACACTAATATTTTGTGCTAGTGTGATGTTTGTGTGATAAATTGCAATGATATAAAATGTCATGCAATTTTTTTTATTTAAACTAACATTTCTATCAGCATGAATCAATAAAATATCGATGCATTTTTTTAGGATACACTTTTGGCGTACTTTTAGGAAAGTGGAATGCACAATTCAAAAGGAGAAGCACACAATCAATTTTCAATCAACAAATGAAAGAGGGGTCGGGAGGGTGAGGTAATTTTGATTAAACAAGTACTCTTCAAAAAAAATGGGTCCATTCACAGTGAGGGAGACGTGTAAAAGACTATAATTAAAATTTTAAAAATTATTGCGCGTTATAAGGTTTGACAAAATTTATTTTTAATTTAATTTATTACATTATAGAGGTAATATTTAAAAATAAAATTTATATAGTAAAAAATTACATAAAAAGTTCTACAATACATCAATACTAGATGTAACAAGACTATTGTTTTATGAAATTAGTAGTAAAAAATAAGCAAATAAAGTGAATTAAATTTGACCATGTGAATAGTGCCCAGGAAGATCTATGAGAGGGAGTACAATACTAAGATACAAAATATAGTAGGAGTAATTCTTAGTTGTAATTTTTGTAACACATTAATAATTTTATTACAAAATATTATGTAATACGGAGTATTTGTTTATATACTCTCTCCGTTTTAAGAATATTTCCTCTTTCATTTTTTTTCTTTCTCAAAATACTTTCACTTTTTATTAAAAATCATATTTATCATACTTTTTCTTACTCTACTTATCATATCATATTTTTTGACTAATAGTCTACCAATCACGTAAAAGGTAAAATTAGAATGTTAACTACAAATAAACAGTTTTTATTTCACCCATTACTCAAAATAAGAACTCTTTTAAAAAATAGAGGGTATTTTTTTGACCTATTGGGGTTTGAACATGTGATTTCATATTTTAGAGTCACAAATCCTACCATAATGACGCGGCTAGACCACAAAGGCTCCATAATTTTTACTCCTTCCGTCCGAAAATATTCTTCCCGTGTTGACTTGGCACGCTTATTAAGGAATCATAAAAAAATTTCAAATTTTCCAAAAATGCACATGCTATAAACTTTTAAATCTCATTTTCTTATTAAAAAAACAATAAAAAAGTAGATTAGTGATAAAATAGAAGGGTATTATAGAAATTTATCCTTAAAAAGTATACTAAAAAAGGAAATGAGAATAATATTTCCGGACGGGCCAAAAAGGAAAGTGAGAAGAATATTTCCGGACGGATGGAGTAATTAATAAGAGTAAATTCCATAAAAGGTCTCAGTTATAGGTTGTTTTACATATTTAGTCCTTATATATCAAATATTACCAATTTAGTCCCCAATTATTATATTCATTTCCACGAATGATTCTTTGTCAACATTTTCGTTAAGAACATGGATAAAATTGTAAATTCACACTCCTTTCTTTACTCAATTAAGCTTCCCCCTCCCCTTGCACTCCTTTCTCAAACTCGTCACTGAGTTTGAAGCTTTGAACCCAAAACCGAAATCATCACTCTTCTCTCAATTGTTTCTCTAACTGGTAGAACCCAAATTCGAAACCAATAACCTTCATGGATGAGTTTTAATGTTTATTTTCTTTGCAATTTATTGAGACTAACCGATAAAACTCATTTATAAAGCTTATTGGTTTTGATTTTAGGTTCTACCAAGAAGACTAATAATTGAGAGAGGAATGATCATTTCAGTTTTGGGTTTAGAGCTTCAAACTCAATGACGAGTTTGGGAAAGAGTACGAGAGGAGAGAGGAAGCTTAATTGAGGAGAGAGAGAGAACTATGAATATACAATTTTATCCATGTTGTAAACAAAAACGTTAACAAAGGACCTTCCGTGAAAAATGATATAATAATTGGGGACTAAATTAGTAATATTTGATATGTATGTACTAAATATGTAAAACGACCTATAACTGGGAACCTTTTATGAAATTTACTCAATTAATAAATACGCACTAAAAACTCACTCTATAAATGAGTTAGGGGCATTTGGTTCCTGCTGAGGAAATGGGAAACAGGGAAAGGGAGTCAGGGGGGAAAAGAATTATTACCCCTGAATTACCCTGTCTGTTTGGTTCGGGGAAG